TTGTTCTTGATGGTGACTTTGTTCAACTGCCGATAATCTATACACATCCTCATTGATCCATCTTTCTTCTTCACAAATAACACGTATGTACCCCAGGGCGAGACACTAGGTCTAATGAAGCCCTTATCAAGCAAATCTTACAACTGCTCCTTCAATTCTTTCAACTCTGGCAGGGCCATGCGGTATGGCGGAATGGAAATAGGCTAAGTGCCCAGAGCCAAATCAATGTAGAAATCAATATCCCTGTCGGGTGGCATCCCTGGCAGGTTTGCAGGAAACACATCTGGAAACTCACGAACAACCGGTACCGAATATATGGAAGGAACCTCCGCATTATAATCGCGAACATAAGCCAAATAAGCTGAACATCCCTTCTCGACCATATGCCGAACCTTCACATAAGAGATAACCCTGCCGGCAGAATGGCCAAGATTTTCTCTCTACTCTAATCGAGGAAACCCTTGCAAGGTTAAGGTCATTGTCTTGGCGTGATAATCTAATATAGCATGATAAGGTGACAACCAATCCATACCCAGTATGACATCAAAATCAACCATGTCGAGAAGTAGAAGATCTACACGAGTCTCCAGACTCCCAAGGGTGACTACACACGAACGATAAATACGTTCTACAATAATAGCATCTCCCACTGGCGTGGACACATACACAGGAGCAATCAAAGAATCACGAGGTACAACCAAATAGGAGGAAAAATAGGATGACACATAGGAGTAAGTAGATCCCGGATCAAATAGAACTAAAGCATCTCTACTGCAAACTGAAACAGTACCTGTGATAACAACGTCAGATGACTCAGCCGCAGGCCTGGCTGGGAAAGTATAACACAGGGGCTGGGCCTTACCACCCTGAACTACGTCCCTGGGACGACCTCTAGCTAGCTGGTCTCCACCTCTAACGGCCTGACCTCCGCCTCTAACAGTATGGCCCCTACCTCTGGCTCCCTGACCCCTGCCTCTGGCTGGCTGAGCAGGTGGTGCAGCAACTGGTGCCGAAACCATGGCACGAGAACTCTGATACTGTGAGCTGCCCGTTGCCCGAGGGCAAAATCTAAGCAATGTGCCTCGGATCACCACAAGTATAACATAACTTCGGCTGCTTTGACTGCTGACCCTGAAACTGACCCTGTCGACCTGAATAACCACCCTGATGACTCTAGAGTGGAGGTGCACTAATAGGAGCTGGTGGTG